CCATTACTCAGACATACAGTAGAAATTGCCAAGTTGATTCTTGTAATGCAACTAAAATTAATATTAACTGACCCCGAGCAGATAAAATGTATGCTAAATATTTTGTTTATAGTTTTGCTGAATTGCAATCTAGAGGAAYGTTTTTAAACAAAAGGTTGAGTAGAAAGTCACAGGACACCCTTTTATTTCAAAAAGAAAAGTAAAAATGACATATAGTATTTGAATACCTGGCAAGTGATGGGTGAGGGGGGCTATGTTTCAGACTTAGTCCAGAACATGACTGCCATTTTGAAAGCCTCCATATTGGATCATGGGCAAATTTTTTCAAAGATAGCCCCCCATACCCATTACTTGCTGGGGTACTCGGATACATAATTTTCCTTTTCTTTCTAAAATAGAGGGGTGCCATGTGACTTTTGACACACCGTTCTTCTGCCACACACAACAGACTGTCTTGTACATGACAGATGAGCATACATGTTAAATTGTACGGACTGTCCGTAATTTACACAGATTTTTTGTCATTTTGCAGGTATACGGACGTATAGAGCAATCTCACAGATTTTTTCACGTTTTACATWTTTCAAAAACTCTGTTTCAAATGTATTTAAAATGTTAGCATCATCCAACCCACTCTGCCACTAGAAATAAGTTTTCCCATCCTGATTTTCTCCRCTGCAGGTTCTGTCGACAGTCCACCTGCAAACCCACCAACCTGTGCTTTCCGCCTGCACCCCCGCCCAACCCGCATGTGATTAATACGGATTTTTTGCAAAAATTTCTGATTTTTGAGGCTCATTATACAGGTAAATGTCCAAAGGGGTTGACATGTGTGGATCAGTAATATCAGAGATCTGTACAGTCTTTAAAAGTGTCACAAAATGTCTGTCACAGAACAATTGCTACAATCTGACTTACAAATGAAATCAGAAAATATTTATGATAAACTACAAACATCTAAATCAGACCATCACACAGAATGCTATGATGGTTTAGATGTCGGTTTAGATGGCTGTTGTGGAATACTTATATCTGTATCACCTTGACACTGACCA